GACCTGTAGGGACAGATGGTGATAGTATAAAGGCTGACCTGTAGGGACAGATGGTGATAGTATAAAGGCTGACCTGTAGGGACAGATGGTGATAGTATAAAGGCTGACCTGTAGGGACAGATGGTGATAGTATAAAGGCTGACCTGTAGGGACAGATAGTGATAGTATAAAGGCTGACCTGTAGGGACAGATGGTGATAGTATAAAGGCTGACCAACAAATTCTTTCTTGGAATATTTGGAGAAAATAGATTTGATAAGGAACACACAACAACATCAATAACGAAATCGTACTTATAGATCCAAAAAGTAATATACATTGTCACTAAAAGACCTATTTGTTATTTATTATTTTTATAATTTGATGATTGCAGACTTTAAACTCAATTAGCAGCAGTCTTGTCTGGTCATATACGGGTGTCTAAGGCGTCAAAGGCGCTGCATTTCGCTGTACAGATTCGCGTCAGATGACAACTATTTTGATTTTGTCATAATCCAAAGCAAATCTCATTGTAAAAAAGGACTTCATGTTCATCCTCTATTCATTTGAAAACAATACGCCCTGTTTGTTCTACCGCCACCGTGGTCTAGTGGTAGAGCGTCCGCCCGGAGAGCGGAAGGTCCGGGGTTCGATCCCCGGCCGCATCATACCAAAAGACGTTAAAAGATGGTACTTGTTGTTACCCTGTCTGGCGCTCAGCATTAAGGGGCTAAAACAAGGACTGGTCGGCTCGGAGTCAGTATACTGTGTCTGAGTGGGGTATTCATGTTAAACTGCGGCATGGTATCTCAGTTGGCTAGCACTATAAATCGGCATCAGTCCGGACTAGTACAAGCAGCCACACAAATGCACACACGTACATGCACGTCGTTATATAAGTGCAATAATCTTGGACGCGACGTTAAACCCCATTTCACCCCACCTCACCTCCTGTCTGTTCTGTGGTGAAGAGAGTGTAACGAAATCTTTCTTTTTTTAAATAAAATGTAAACATGCTTTTATGAAAATGATTTTGACATGTTCAGCATTGTTTTAGAAGAAGAGTTTTTAGCTCAGGGCTTACGGGAGGGTGGATAGACGGACACGTAGACTACCGTCGTAAACCTTTTCATGACATAGGTCACACTGAATTGGCCAGGGTGAGCTAAAAAAATAAGGAATGACATTTCATACTAAGATCGTTTAATATGTCTGATAGCCGATACTTTGAGTCAGTCAAGCAAAGGCAGGAGCGTTATTTCTATACCTCATATATTCTAAACCTCATATATTCTAAATATCAAGGTGAGTTGCCTCTTTGATTTTTAAGTTTGTGTGGGTATTCAAATCGAAATAAAGTGTCTGTGAAAGACGATCTCCTCCAGTGATATCAAGTAACAAATGTCTTTACAAACAGATTGTTCTACGGAGATAAATATATTCTAAATGACTATGTGTGGAGTCTTCAAACTGTAAGTGTAATTTGATCATGTTAACTAAACTTTCGTTTTGGCAAATAATATTTCTCAGGCTCTTAAAGTGCAAACTTACCAAACCACGTGAAGCGTCATTAAACCTCCCTCCTTACCTCTACGAGGGATGCGTGTTGGGACAGGTGGCTGTAGATATTTAGTTGGTTCATTTTGTTTATTTGTTTATTTGTGTGTTCTTTAACGCCACTCTTGGATACATTCCAGCTATGTGCATAATCGAGTCAGGACCAGACAACAATTCGGTGAGTGATATTATGAGCATTTATCATCAGTGAGGGATATTAAGTCAATTTTTAAGCATACTTTCTGTGTGTGTGTGTGTGTGTGTGTGTGTGTGTGTGTGTGTGTGTGTGTGTGTGTTGAACGCCGCACTTAGCAATATTCCAGCTATATGACGGCGATCTGTAATTAATCGAGTCTGGACCAGACAACCCAGTGATTGTCATCATGAGCAATGATCCACGCGGTAGGGACACGATGACATGCATCAACCAAGTCAGCAAGCCGTCAGGAAGACTCGGCATATTCCTGGTATTCCATGTTCCATGTTATCACAGTTCGTGTCAGTCTTAATTCCCCACGTATATGAGAGGTAGGGCTTGCCTTAACACATATAGCAAGCCCCTTTTTGGTAAGTACCTAAATATATCGTAACGTCTCCTGGTCAGAAAATTGCTGAAAAGGTATAGGCAAAAGGGATAACAAGAGCAAATTATCAACATGCTGTAGCCAAAGGACCAGGCACGCCCCGTGTGGACAAACCATATATATTTATGGGGCGCTTCATACAGCGTGGCGTGGAAAAATGGATGCTGTTTTAGCGCTTTTTGCTGAAAGAGTCAAGGCCGGGTTATCCCATCTAAATGACTGACACTTCATTTCAAACTGTAGTACCTGGCGTACATTATCTCAAACCTCAAAATGTACATAAAGCAACTTTAGAAAGTGACACTTTTACCCACCTTGTGGAAATCGCCTGTTTGTTACGAGAGCGACAGGTCGCAAAATTATGACGTCATCAAAAGGTGGATCAAAATAATCAAACTTGTCTCTAGTGCGTGTGTGCGTGCGTGCGTGCGTGCGTGTGTTGTGTTGTGTTGTGTTATCAATCATAATCTATCAGCTTTAACAATTTATGTCTCTCTAATCTTCCTTCTCTTAACGCACACCGGTTCGCCCCGATTATGTTTCTAGGTTTGTCAGCACCATACCCGTGCTCCTGGGTGTCACCGAAATGGTAAACGTCTGAGACTTGCATCACTTCGGGCTTTCCGCCCACATTAAGCTGACACGCCGTGATATAGCTGGAATACTGTTAAAAGCGGCGTAAAACCCAACTCACTCACTCACTCTTAACGCACACAAGACCTGTCAGACAATCTCCTCACATTCTGTTTCTAAGGTACGTTTGGCCTCAGAGCTGAAGATCTCTCTGGTTCTGCACTACTCATGGGGTGAGTTCAACCGACAATGAGCCGATTCCTGAAGTTACTTTCAGACAGTCTGACCCCGAGATGGGATTTCCATGTTCTTTGCCAAACTTTAATTTCAGATTTTAGAGATAATGAAGTTTCCAGATCTGTTTCCGAAAACATCCAATCAGATACCAGTGAATCAGTATCAGAAGCAGACATGATAGTCCGTGGCACCAAAGCAAATATTGCCTCTCCAACCCAATCGGGGCGGTCGGGTAGCCTAGAGGTAATGCGTTCGCTCGTCCGGGTGAAGACCCGGGTTCGATTCCCGACATGGGTACAATGTGTGAAGCCCATTTCTGGTGTCCCCCGCCGTGATATTGCTGGAATATTGCTAAAAAGCGGCGTAAAACCATACTCACTCACTCACTCCAACCCCATCATATTCACCTCTTGGCAAAGATAATATAGCAACGTTTCGCCGGAATTGGTCCTCTGCACTAGGTATGTTAGAACGATGGCAATGCCTTTAAACCAGTATGTACCTCGCCACCAACAATATCTTGAAGTTTAAGGGCCTTTGAATTAATATATGTCTTAAAATTCTAGTTAAATTTCTTTCTGACTTCTTGTATCCAACATTTAGTGGTGTCAATCTTTTAGCATACGCTTGTACAGCATCTTACAAAACATTGTCTCGTTTTTTTAATTTTGGAATCACCAACACAAGAACATTTTTCACCACAAGGACGCCATGAGACGAGTGCCAGACTGCAGAGGGTGTAGAGTCCTGAACAGTGTTTCAAGTTTCTCTACTCCATGATCAGTCATCTAGGTGAGGTGAAATGGGGTTAACGTCGCGTCTGTTGCACTTATATGGCGCTGTGCATGCACGTGTGTGTGGCTGCTTGCACTAGTCCGGACTAATGCCGATTTTATAGTGCTAGCCCACTGAGATACCATGCCGCAGTTTTACATGAATGCCCCACTCAGACACATTATACTGACTCCAAGCCGACCAGTCCTTTTTTAGCCCCTTATGCCCAGCGTCAGGCAGGGTAACATCAAGTTCCATCTTTTAACGTCTTTTGGTATCGAACTCCTGACCACGGAGGCGGTCGACCAGTCAGCTCACAACTGCAAGGCTGATGGATCGTTAACTGCCGCAGAGCAGATACGTATATGAATTCAGACAAAACAAAGTTTTAAAACGATTATGGGCAGGTGTCGGAGATTTCAAGAATATATTTTGTTGAGTGAGTGTGGTTTAAGCCGCCTTTTTAGCAATATTCCAGCAATATCACGGCGGGGGACACAAGAAATGGGCTTCACACATTGTACCCATGTCGGGAATCGAACCCGGGTCTTCGGTGTGACGAGCGAACGCTTTAACCACTAGCTAGGCTACCTGACCGCCCCTATATCTTGTTGAAGTTGATTTTGAATATAATCATATCCAAATGAATGATAAAGAATTTTATTGACCTCTAATATTTATTTTTTTATATTTTCTTACGATTTTGCAAATTTAACATGGAACTGCTTTTAAGTCGCAATTACAAGGGATGGTAAAACGTTCAAGGCTTAAATTCCCATTAATTTTGTAATGAAATAATTTAATTTTCCTGTAGACAACTACACAAAAAGTATATGATAAATAAGACATTCCATGTGTCTCGTGAAATGGCATGTGTCTCTCATCTCGTGATGGGATAAAGGAGATGTTTCCACTCGGAGCGTGCACATGGAATATATGTCCTCTCTATGAATTAGCCGGTTTGAATTTCCCATTGCCGGTTTGACATGTGGCTGTTTTGACCAGTACCCTACTCAGCTCACCTGAATCTAACAATCATGCATTCGCGAACAACAATTATCATTCCGGGACAAGCTGAATACAGGTTACGTAAAGAGGCGATTGGTGACCAATGTATAATCCCATTTAGCGGAATTAAACGAGTAGAACCGAATGAGTAGTTTCACCCCTCGGCTCATCAAAATTACGTCCCTTTGCAAGTATGGCGCCAAGCTCCTTCCCAGCGCGTGACACCTTCGTTACACTCTCGGTAGTGTAGAGAGCTCCGCGAACGGGCTATCGCTGCGAGGAGCTTGGCATGGCGCAGAGTGTCCAAGACTCTTGCATGTGTATTTGAACGCGCATGTCAGCAATGTTTCGACGCTCAGGCACGGCTGAAATTTTGCGGTCGCATCAAAAAGACGATTATCACCTGTCGTACCTGAGGAAATTATTTGCCGATGTCGTTCAGACAATTGCAGGTAATTTCACACAACCTCCTGTGACTGATCTAGGCCGACTAGATTACCTTGCCACGCTATTCGCTATATACTATATACGCATGTTTACCACAGGTAGATCAAATGCCCAAAGGCAACTAAGTTAAAATCCTGCATACTTATTTACTAGCGCGCGAGTTTGTTGCCGCCGCATATTAAAGCTACAATATATGACTACCGTATTCGACGTAATATGCGCCCAGGGCGCTCTCAAAATTAGAAATAGGGGCCAAATAATTTTGGTGAAAAAAACCCAATCTCGCCCGACAGGTGCTCAATGGGATTTAAATCTAAAGTCTGTGGGTCCTGATCGCAGCGTGGCAATGTTTAAAAATGACACTACATGTCATATTCGGCTGTTTGACAGTGACGAGACTGTCGATGATACAGCACAGGTAGATTATGTCACACCTAATATTTGTCAATTACTGACCCTTCATCCAGGCAATATCATGTTTTATGGACCAGAGAAACTGATACGGACACGGCCCAGTGGGGGAATACTTTAACTTAGCTTTATCATGATTGACATAATGCAAGACCAGGGACCAAAAATCATTAATTGATGGAACTTGCTCTGCATAAAGGGTACAAAACAAGGGCAGGGCCCCGTATTACAAAATGATCGTATCGCTACAATATTCGTAACTCCCATAGATTAACATGGATTTACAAGTCGTAGAGCTAAGATTGCTTTGTGTAAGGAGGCCCAGGTTGGCTAGGAGTCAGTATACTGTGTCTGAGTGGGGTATTCATGATAAATTCTGGCATGGTACTACAGTGGGCTGGCACTTTACAATCAGCATTCCTCTGGACTGGTACTAGCATTATCAGCCACACAGGCACATGCGTGTCACTATCTAGGTGCAATAATCTTGGACACAATGTCAAACCCATTTCACCTCACCTCACTTGACTAGGAGGTTTGTTGTGTTTGTTCCAGGGGCACGGAGATGGATGCACTGGAGGAAGGAACTTGACCTTCTCTCGGATGCCGGCTACTTCCTGCTCACAACTCTTTCAGGTGATACCATGGAAACAGGAACACTACTAATTCACATTTGATGCTTATTGTTTATTTGTTCCACTTGTTTGCTTATTGAACCACTCCAGCAATATTCCAGCTGTATGACAGTGGCCTGAACGCATTCAGTCTAAACCAGATAAGACCGCCTCCAAGGTCTAATGGAAGAGCATCTGCCCGGAGGAAGGTCCGGGGTTCGATATTAATGTTAAACTGCGGCATGGTATCTCAGTGTGCTAGCACTATTAATCGGCATCAGTCCGGACTAGTACAAGCAGCCACACACACACATACACGTGCATTCACGTTGCTATATAAGTGCAAGACGTTAAACCCCATTTCACCTCACCTAAACCAGATAAAGCAGTGTTTGATATTATGTTTCTTTGTTTGTTGTTTAACGCCGCACTCAGCAATATTCCATCTATATGACGGTGGCTTGTAAAGTATCGAGTCTGGACCTGACAAGCCAGTAATTGATATCATGAGCATCGATCTACGCAATTGGTATACACTGACATGCATAAACCAAGTCAGTGAGCCTGACCACCCATCAGTCGCCTTATGACAAGCATGGTCACCTTTTACGGCAAGCATAGGTTGCTGAAGACCTATTCTACCCCGGATCTTCACGGGTCTGTTATCAGTGAAACACAAGTCACACTATAAAGCTATACCATTAGTTATAACTATAACAGCATGAATTTGGAAACTTGTAAATCCAACATGGGAAATCAACATAGGCTGCAGACTTGGGGTCGACTATCAGCCTCTATGCAGTTCTATGTAAATCCCTGATCACGTCTTGAAGTGAGTGAGTTAAAATTTAATGTTGCATCAGCATTATTCCTGCCATGTAGTGCTGATCACGTCTTGAAAAATAGAGACATGTTATCTTCTGTTTGTTTATTTGTTGTTTAACTCCGAACTCAGCAATATTCCAGCTATATGACCGCCGTCTGTAAATAATCGTGTCTGGACCAGACATTCCAGTGATTGACATCATGAGCTTCAATCCACACAATTGGGATCGATGACATGCATCAACCAAGTCAGTGAGCTTGACCACTCGATCCAGTTAGTCGCCTCTTACGACAAGCATAGTCGACTTTTAAGGAAACAGACCCGTGAAGATCCGCAGTAGAATAGGTCTTCAGTAACCTATTCTTGCCGTAAAAGGTGACTATGCTTGTCATAAGGCGACTGATGGGTGGTCAGGCTCGCTGACTTAGTTTATGCATGTCATCGTATCCCAGTTGTGTGGATCGATGCTCATGATGTCGATCACTGGATTGTCTGGTCCAGACCCGATTATTTACTGACAGAACAGGTATTTTTATGATAAACTTATTAGCCGACACAAAAAGGCAAATGTGCTATTCAGAATCGGTGTTCAAAATTAAGCCTGAATGTCAAGAGCTCCACTGTCATACACTTCGAATATTGCTGAGTGCGGCATTAAACGACTTCAAACAAACAAACAAACAAACATCACTGATAACAGGACCAATAAGGAGGAAGAGGTTTTCATTCTCAGTCTCATTATTGCATTGTATGCAGACTTGCAGTGTTGAAATTATGGCAAATAACTTTTAATGAAAACAAACAACTTTTTCCTAAGTTGGCTGTGTGATTATGACTGTATGTTGTGTTTGTGAAGGCTGCCAGACAGTGGGAGAGGAGTATGTGAACATCATCCAGACGGACCGGACGCTGCGTGCTCTGCCGGCACAGTGGGTGAGGACCAACCCTATGTCCTGGGGACTTCTTGCAATAGTAATACTGTGCACAGGCCTCAAAGTTTAAATTTTTACCAAGTAGCCATATGGCTACAAGTATTTTTTTCCAGGTAGCCAGTGGTAAAATAAAGAGGTCAAGCCAATGTTGTAAGTAGCCCAAAGCAATTGAAATGATCTTTTATCAAATAACTATTAAATGTACAGGTCATAGCAGTAGTCTTGGAATTGTAAATGAGTTTTGTTATTTGTGACTCGAACAATGATGCAATTTATGTTGCTAGATTATTTAGGTATATCCTTGCTTATCCAATAAACTATCAACTAAACTAAAATACTAATTACATTAATATTTATATATTTCGGTTCATTGTTGACTTTAGTAGTACATTTAGTAGAAGACACGTTTATTTTTGTGTCTACATATGTGTAGCAATAGAATTTAGTCATCACAAGATTTTTTTCGAGGTAGTCATGTAGCTACCTCTGAACTTTAGACAGAAGATAAATTAAAATTTAGGTCGCAACTTTGAGGCCTGTTATGCACCATGATGGGATTTTGTTTATCAAAATATAGACTACGTTCACCAGAGCTCCAGATGAGCTGTGTATGTGCTTTAAACAAGGCAAATAAATGACCTTTCCCCAAATTAATTTTAAGTTTCTTGCGTACACATACACATGAACAAACTCAAAAATGAATAGTACAATACCACTCTGTGAAAGCTCTTGTTGACCACAAGGAGGTAAAAAGCTCTTGTTGACCACGAGGAGGTAAAAAGCTCTTGTTGACCACGAGGAAGGAAGCTCTTGTTAAGAATGGTGAGGGAAATAAGCTCTAGTTGACCATGGTGGGGGAAATTAGCTCTTGTTGACCATGGTGAGGGGAATAAGCTCCAGTTGACCATGGCAGGGACATAAGCTCTTGTTGACCATGGTGAGGGAAATAAGCTCTAGTTGACCATGAGGAGGAAATAAGCTCTTATTGACCATGGTGAGGGAAATAAGCTCTAGTTGACCATGGTGAGGGAAATAAGCTCTTGTTGACCATGGTGAGGGAAATAAGCTCTTGTTGACCATGGTGAGGAAATAAGCTCTTGTTGACCATGGTGAGGGAAATAAGCTCTAGTTGACCATGGTGAGGGGAATAAGCTCTAGTTGACCATGGTGGGGGAAATAAGCTCTTGTTGACCATGGTGAGGGAAATAAGCTCTTGTTGACCATGGTGAGGGGAATAAGCTCCAGTTGACCATGGCAGGGACATAAGCTCTTGTTGACCATGGTGAGGGAAATAAGCTCTAGTTGACCATGAGGAGGAAATAAGCTCTTATTGACCATGGTGAGGGAAATAAGCTCTAGTTGACCATGGTGAGGGAAATAAGCTCTTGTTGACCATGGTGAGGGAAATAAGCTCTTGTTGACCATGGTGAGGAAATAAGCTCTTGTTGACCATGGTGAGGGAAATAAGCTCTAGTTGACCATGGTGAGGGGAATAAGCTCTAGTTGACCATGGTGGGGGAAATAAGCTCTTGTTGACCATGGTGAGGGAAATAAGCTCTAGTTGACCATGAGGAGGGAAATAAGCTCTTGTTGACCCTGGTAAGGGAAATAAGCTCTAGTTGACCATGAGGAGGGAAATAAGCTCTAGTTAAGCATAGTGAGGAAAATAAGCTCTTGTTGACCATGAGGAGGGAAATTAGCTCTTGTTAAGCATAGTGAGGGAAATAAGCTCTTGTTGACCATGAGGAGGGAAATAAGCTCTAGTTAAGCATAGTGAGGGAAATAAGCTCTTGTTGACCATGAGGAGGGAAATAAGCTCTTGTTAAGTATAGTGAGGGAAATAAGCTCTAGTTGACCATGGTGAGGGAAATTAGCTCTTGTTAAGCATAGTGAGGGAAATAAGCTCTTGTTGACCATGGTGAGGGGAATAAGCTCCAGTTGACCATGGCAGGGACATAAGCTCTTGTTGACCATGGTGAGGGAAATAAGCTCTAGTTGACCATGAGGAGGAAATAAGCTCTTATTGACCATAGTGATGGAAATAAGCTCTAGTTGACCATGGTGAGGGAAATAAGCTCTTGTTGACCATGAGGAGGGAAATAAGCTCTTGTTGACCATGGTGAGGAAATAAGCTCTTGTTGACCATGGTGAGGGAAATAAGCTCTTGTTGACCATGGTGAGGAAATAAGCTCTTGTTGACCATGGTGAGGGAAATAAGCTCTAGTTGACCATGGTGAGGGAAATAAGCTCTTGTTGACCATGGTGAGGGAAATAAGCTCTTGTTGACCATGGTGAGGAAATAAGCTCTTGTTGACCATGGTGAGGGAAATAAGCTCTTGTTGACCATGGTGAGGGAAATAAGATCTAGTTGACCATGGTAAGGGGAATAAGCTCTAGTTGACCATGGTGGGGGAAATAAGCTCTTGTTGACCATGGTGAGGGAAATTAGCTCTAGTTGACCATGAGATGGAAATAAGCTCTTGTTGACCCTGGTAAGGGAAATAAGCTCTTGTTGACCATGAGGAGGGAAATAAGCTCTTGTTAAGCATAGTGAGGGAAATAAGCTCTTGTTGACCATGGTGAGGGAAATAAGCTCTTGTTGACCATGGTGAGGAAATAAGCTCTTGTTGACCATGGTGAGGGAAATAAGCTCTTGTTGACCATGGTGAGGGAAATAAGCTCTAGTTGACCATGGTAAGGGGAATAAGCTCTAGTTGACCATGGTGGGGGAAATAAGCTCTTGTTGACCATGGTGAGGGAAATAAGCTCTAGTTGACCATGAGGAGGGAAATAAGCTCTTGTTGACCCTGGTAAGGGAAATAAGCTCTAGTTGACCATGAGGAGGGAAATAAGCTCTAGTTAAGCATAGTGAGGAAAATAAGCTCTTGTTGACCATGAGGAGGGAAATTAGCTCTTGTTAAGCATAGTGAGGGAAATAAGCTCTTGTTGACCATGAGGAGGGAAATAAGCTCTTGTTAAGCATAGTGAGGGAAATAAGCTCTAGTTGACCATGTGGAGGGAAATTAGCTCTTGTTAAGCATAGTGAGGGAAATAAGCTCTTGTTGACCATGAGGAGGAAAAAAAGCCCCCGTTGACCATGAGGAGGGAAAAAAACTCTAGTTGACCATGAGGAGGGAAATAAGCTCTAGTTGACCATGGTGGGGGAAATTAGCTCTTGTTGACCATGGTGGGGGAAATTAGCTCTTGTTAAGCATGGTGAGGGAAATAAGCTCTAGTTGACCATGAGGAGGGAAAAAAGCTCTAGTTGACCATGAGGAGGGAAATAAGCTCTAGTTGACCATGGTGGGGGAAATTAGCTCTAGTTGACCATGAGGAGGGAAATAAGCTCTAGTTGACCATGGTGAGGGAAATAAGCTCTAGTTGACCATGGTGGGGGAAATTAGCTCTAGTTGACCATGGTGAGGGAAATAAGCTCTAGTTGACCATGGTGAGTTATGCTTGTGTTGATCATTGTTGAAATAGTTGTGCATGTTATATTGTTTTCACAGCAAAGAGTTCTCATGGTCGTGCTTCAAGTGGTCGCCCCGTATGCTCTCCGGAAAAGTCTGGAAACTCTGGAGAAGAATCTGCGAAACACTTCCTCACCAAACATGTCTCCCAAGATGAGAGAGTTCCTCATTCAGTCACTGCCAACATTCCGTCAAATTATCCTAGTTCTCCACAGATGTCATCTTGCAATCTTCTACCTGGAGGGGATGTTCTATCAGCTGGCGAAACGTGTCAGTGGGATACACTATGTGAGTGGTGAAGGGGAGATAAGTCACTGTACAGTGTGTAATATAAGGGAACATTCGTGACCGACTTGTGTTATTCCGGGACAAGCCGAATAGCGACTTGTGCCCCTCTCGTGGACGGTTTTGCGACCGGGTTCCGTCTTAGCGAAAACAGGCATACCTAAAACAATTGTCAATTCGTTGCGTAATGGTTCGCATGTATTACCCCATATGTTATATATATTTCAGATGCAATTGATAGCACATCGGGACATGCGGAATTATACAGTATGATTGAACACATTTAACTTTGTCTTGGGTATATTTTTAGATGTAAGACATATGTAAAATAAAAAATTATTCCTAAGGGATTCTTTGACGAAGAACTTGAAGTCATACGCGAATTCTGATTGGTTTGTCGTGTTTTCGCACATAACATTCATCGATAGGGGGACGAGTCTTCTTGCAGGTTACGATAAGGGAAATAACTGGAGGACAAGTGATGTAAGGGAGATAACTTTAGAATACAATGAGGCAAGCTCCTCACAGCGATAGCCCGTTCACGGGGCTCTCTGTACTATCGCTGCCACCAGTCAAAGCTCCCCACTGTGATGGGTGGCCACAACCATGTTTGGAGTTGAACTTGCAACCAACTGACTGTTATGTTTACAAACAAGTGATGACTGCTATGACGTCGAATACTCTTACACCTGCTCAGTTATTTTCTTTCTTTTTCAATTTGAATTTCATTTCAACTATCATGTAATTGGTATAGTAAGATTGTAAGGGGAAAGTTAAGTGATTTTCCATTCGTCTGCAATCTTGAACCAATATGATCAAACAAACAAAAAGTTAAATTCATCTGGGAAATGTGGTCAGTCGTAAACCTTTCCAAAATCAACTACAATGGCATTCCAAAAGACAAACAAAAGTATAACCGTTATTACATTTGGGGTTAGAGTCATTAAAATCTTATCTTACATGACCCGTAATGGGATGTCCTCAGACTTTTGCTTAGCGAAAGCGATAACTAAGATCTGATTTTAATGAGATTGCACGGGGGTTAGAGGGCAAGTTTCAAGATTCTTGTAATGGCCGCCCCCACACCGACAATGATATGATGGTGTCACACGCTTGATGTTGAGGAATTTTAGGGAAATAACTTGATCACACACTGAGCAAGTGGGAATTCTTTTGTGTTACGTGTCCTATTTCTAATGTGCTGTAGTGATTAAAATGACGTTATGATTAATAGTGTGTACTCTTCAGCAAATGTGCTATGATGTTGAATAGTCTACAGGCTTATTTTGATAGGAACTCTTTCATTGCTTTCCTAATTTTTTTTGGGCAGTCAAGTTGTGTAACATGTCCCATGTTCTTTTTTCCCCCCATGTAAACTTTTGAGGCCTGTTCATAACTGGCAGCCAGCCACAATGCTGAATGCGTTCCTGCAGTTATGTGTGCTGTTTGTGCAGGTTCAGTACATGGCAAAGAAGACTGATGACACCGGCACGGACCCCACGTTCCGCATCCTCGGCTGGGTGTCGCTGCTGCAGCTGGCGGGCAGTGTGGGGGTGCAGCTGTACTGTCTGTGGAGGAACAGCCCAGACACAACCCTCTCACACCGACACAGCAGGTGATGTCTTCTCCTAATATTGTACTTCCTAGAAATTTAATGTTTTTAAGACTAGTCCAGAGGACTAGTGTCAACCTTAGTTCACTCCGCCTTGCTGAATGTGTTATGCTTGTCGTAAGAGGCGACTAACGGGATCGGGTGGTCAGACTCGCTGACCTGGTTGTAGCATGTCATCGATCCCAATTGCGTGGATCGGTGCTCATGATATCAATCACTGGATTGTCTGGTCCAGACACGATTATTTAAAGACCACCGTCATAAAGCTTGAATATTGCTGAGTTAAACAACAAACCAACCAATTGCTATTGTATCATCACTATGTGGCTGAAATCTTGCTGATGCGATGTAAAATATTTTCTCGCTAGTCCTGAGTTTGTAGCTAATCCTGCTTGAACGACACAATAATGTTTGTGTTTATATTTTGTACATTTCAATTCCAATTTCTAGCAAAATTTAAGCATTGCGAACTGGTTCAGAGTTATAGCTCTCAAATGCTACAAGTCAATGAGGACTGCCTACCATATTTTGACTTTTACTGGTCCTCAGCACTGTCCCCAGTAATCTTTGCTAGTGGACTACTGTGAATAGTGAGACCACCTCCGTGGTCTAGTGGTAGAGCGTCCGCCCGGAGAGCGGAAGGTCTGGGGTTCGATCCCCGGCAGCGTCATACCATAAAAAAGACGTTAAAAGATGGTACTTGTTGTTACCCTGTCTGGCGCTCGGCATTAAGGGGCTAAAACAAGGACTGGTCGGCTCGGAGTCATTATACTGTGTCTGAGTGGGATATTCATGTTAAACTGCGGCATGGTATCTCAGTGAGGTAGCACTATAAATCGGCATCAGTCCGGACTAGTACAAGCAGCCACACAAACACACACACGTACATGCACGTCGCCATATAAGCGCAATAATCTTGGACGCGACGTTAAACCAAATTTCACCTCACCTCACCTGTGAATAGTGAAGGCTGCCCAAGAGTGCCAGGTTAGAAGGCCATGTGAAGATTCTGGGTTAGAAGAGGTCCCTGGCACATGCAGCAACCTATGCTGGTAAAAGGATGTGTTTTAGTGGATCAGGTGGACCTGATGGCATGGATCATTGCTCACAATATCAATCACTGGATTATCTCGTCCAGACTAGATTATTTACTGACTGCCGTCATACATTTTGTAAATCATCTTTTTACTCTCATTTGCAGCATGTCGTCTGAGGAGGGTGTGGTCGAGTTGGTGACACCAGACAGGAAGTGCCCTCTGTGTTTGGAGGGGAGACAATTCTCCACAGTCACTCCCTGTGGTCATCTGTTCTGCTGGAAGTGTATTCATGAATGGTGTCAGACGAAGGTATGGTTTACTCTTACAAAGTATGTGGCTATAGGTTTGTCAGGGTAGCCTCATTGATAAAACGTCGCCGATCTTGTCTGTCATTGTGATTCAAGTTAGAATAGGTTCCCAGCAACTAATGGTGGTTTGTAAGAGGCAACTTAATGGATCGGGTAGTTAGGCTCTGTGACATTTGTGTGTGTGTGTGTGTGTGCTGATGATGAACTCTTGTGTTGAAGGCCGAGTGCCCTCTGTGCAGAGACCAGTTTTCTCCACACCGACTCGTGTTTCTCCACAACTACGACACATCCTGACACACCTGGCCACAAGAAGCAGTTTGATGGACAATACAGTGTGATGGCTGAGATCTGTGGTCTCCTGCAGGACTTTATGGCTGAGATCCATGGTCTCCTGCAGGACAGTGTGATGGTAGAGATCCATGGTCTCCAGCAGGACAGTGTGATGCCAGCGATCCGTGGTCTCCTGCAGGACAGTGTGATGCCAGAGATCCATGGTCTCCAGCAGGACAGTGTGATGGTAGAGATCCATGGTCTCCAGCAGGACAGTGTGATGCCAGAGATCCATGGTCTCCAGCAGGACAGTGTGATGGTAGAGATCCATGGTCTCTAGCAGGACAGTGTGATGGTAGAGATCAATGGTCTCCAGCAGGACAGTGTGATGCCAGAGATCCGTGGTCTCCAGCAGGACAGTGTGATGCCAGAGATCCGTGGTCTCCTGAACGACTTGATGGCAGAGATCCATGGTCTCCAGCAGGACTTGATGGCTGAGATCCATGGTCTCCTGCAGGACAGTGTGATGCCAGCGATCCGTGGTCTCCTGCAGGACAGTGTGATGGTAGAGATCCATGGTCTCTAGCAGGACTTGATGGCAGAGATCCGTGGTCTCCAGCAGGACAGTGTGATGCCAGAGATCCGTGGTCTCCTGAACGACTTGATGGCAGAGATCCATGGTCTCCAGCAGGACAGTGTGATGCCAGCGATCCGTGGTCTCCTGCAGGACAGTGTGATGGTAGAGATCCATGGTCTCTAGCAGGACTTGATGGCAGAGATCCATGGTCTCCAGCAGGACAGTGTGATGCCAGAGATCCTTGGTCTCCTGAACGACTTGATGGCAGAGATCCATGGTCTCCAGCAGGACAGTGTGATGCCAGCGATCCATGGTCTCCTGCAGGACAGTGTGATGGTAGAGATCCATGGTCTCTAGCAGGACTTGATGGCAGAGATCCATGGTCTCCAGCAGGACAGTGTGATGGTAGAGATCCATGGTCTCCAGCAGGACTTGAAGGCAGAGATTTACAACAAAACTACTCCAGGAAGCCATGGACGAGAACGATGGGCTGTCTGCAAACCAAGTGAATATTTATCAGATTGTACTACCAACAAATGTTGTTTCCAATTGATGCAGTTTAGAGGCTTTGATTGTTGCGTCAGATTCAGTTTGCCTCGACACACACACACACACACACCAGATATTTACACACATTTGTCCCAACATTGTCAGTCAGTACTAGTTCCTACAAAAACCTCCAAGGGACTGTAGCCTTGGTGACAAGAATTGTTTAATTCTTTTCATTATGGCATGTTTCAGTCAACGTTCACGGGACTTTTGTTATCAGTATCTTGTAGACTAAAACCTACCCCATGGCATGACTCTCTGATGTGAGTCTCTCAAAAAGTGTCTGTGAAATGCGATGACTCTCAGGCTTTCATAGGTAAAACCCTGGCTTGGTCGTACTTGGATGTGGTGCTGCTACTCCAGAATATTGGGTTTGTCTGGACCTGCCAGTCTCCTGGAAATGTCAGTATTGGATTTAAAAAGTTAACAGTACATAACTGATGAAGTGGCTTGAGCGAGAAAAAACAATATTGGTCGCTAAGTTACATTTATAGTACATCAAGAGTTATACATTTCAAAATGATTAGTGGGAAATCTCAAAAACTTTATCCTTGCATATTTGTAATTTTTAACTTATCTTGCATTATTTCTTATTTAGGAATGCAGGATAAGTATACAAATGTAAAAAATATTTAGATTGGACTAATATTTGGAAAATATTCATGATGTAAAGTACAGTCGACAAAGAACTGTCCTGCGTATTCCCTGTCCTCAAAAAGAGAATATGCAGTATGGACCTCTGCCATGGACCGCCTTTGGTAATACTCAACACCGTGGTCGTCTGCCTTTGGTAAATAATCAGCATCGTCCTCCCTCCGGCACCTGTCTTTGAAGCAATTTTCACATATCAAGTAAGGTACCCATTAATCAACTGATATGAAGTGTTGGGGTATTGCTCGTGGCTGGGTAAAAGAGATTTATTCCCTCGCTGAGAAATTTATTCCCCTCCAAGTCGGGTTACAACTTACACAGTATTTTATCACTTGGACCAATCAGATCTCATCATTGTTTCATGGAGGTATGATTATGTATGCTGTAAATGTCTGTAGAAGATCCTTGTGAACAACGGGTGCCTGTATTATCCCATGTACCACAGGTGCGTGAGGAGATTCTTAGCAATTGTTTTGCAAAATTGAGAATCAAATACTATTTTCACATAATTTGAACTTATTGTCCACGTGATCTTGATAAAATACTGTTTAACCCCCCTGATAGTGCTGAAGAGACTTCTTGATCTTTGCCCAGTGCTGAAGACTTCTTGATCTTTGCCCAGTGCTGAAAAGACTTCTTCATCTTTGCCCAGTGCTGAAGAGACTTCTTGATCTTTGCCCTGTGCTGAAAAGACATCTTGATCTTTGCCCAGGGCTGAACAGACTTCTTGATCTTTGCCCTGTGCTGAAGAGACTTCTTGATCTTTGCCCAGTGCTGAAGACTTCTTGATCTTTGCCCAGTGCTGAAAAGACTTCTTCATCTTTGCCCAGTGCTGAAGAGACTTCTTCATCTTTGCCCAGTGCTGAAGTCTTCTTGAACTTTGCCCTGTGCTGAAGAGACTTCTTGATCTTTGCCCAGTGCTGAACAGACTTCTTGATCTTTGCTCTGTGCTGAAAAGACTTCTTGATCTTAGCCCAGTGCTGAACAGACTTCTTGATCTTTGCCCAGTGCTGAAAAGACTGCTTGATCTTTGCCCAGGGCTGAACAGACTTCTTGATCTTTGCCCTGTGCTGAAAAGACTTCTTGATCTTTGCCCAGTGCTGAAGAGACTTCTTGATCTTTGCCCTGTGCTGAAGAGACTTCATCTTTGCCCAGTGCTGAAAAGACTTCTTGATCTTTGCCCAGTGCTGAAGAGACTTCTTGATCTTTGCCCAGTGCTGAAAAGACATCTTCATCTTTGCCCAGTGCTGAAAAGACTTCTTCATCTTTGCCCAGTGCTGAAGAGACTTCTTGAACTTTGCTCATTCCTCATTTGTTGCCACATTTTCAAACAGCAGGAATGATAGTGCTGTCAACTTTTTAATCTTACCCTCAGACAAGATCTGTCTGGGGCTCGTTGTCTGCTTGGGACTTGGTCCATGCTTTCTGTAACAGAAACGTGTACTGAGATGGATGGCCCTCCTCCTGTGGTCACAGAGCTGTGTGATTATAGGGTTAGCCACTCAAAATGTGGGAACAACTTCTCCTTCAGCAAGACGTCACACAACTCCTTCTCTGTAAAAAAACAAGCAGTAAATGGAGTAAAACAGAATATGTATACAGATAAAAAAAATATCATTTCATCATTATTCACATTTGATCATAATTTTGTGTCACCTGGTAAAAAGAAATCACTCAAGTTCCTTAATTTCTAAAAATTAACAACTTTCGGTATAATTAATTATAAACAAAAACAATCTGAATCGTAACATCATCGATTGGATGAAAGTTGTACGATCATGGCAACGGCGGTAAACAAACAACTCTTTTTTTATACATCAAAATTGATTTCTTTTTAGAATTATTTATACGAATGTATAAATCTTTGAAAAAAATATCTCATTTTTATCAAGTTTTCAAATGATTTTGTGTGATAAACTTTCAGATATTCACATGCTGTTGATAAGCAAAGTAACTGGCGATTTGTTCAGTTGAACAAAGTCAACAAACACTGCGAATAATAAAAAATATTGAATGATACGCAAACTCTGAACTGGTATACATTCTAGGTAAACAATTCGATAGTAAAATAATGTAGATTATGAAAACTAATAAAAAAACATGTACTTGCAATTTTATCCGTTATTTCTGAAACCGGAAGCACGTAACGCATGTCACACATCAAGGCAAAATATGCAAAAGTTGTTAGCTATCACAAAAAAAAATCTGAAATAGATTTAATTTCAAAAGAAATTACATAATTTACTACTTATCGTCACCTGTTTACTATTTATTCACCTGGGTAGCAGTAGTCACTCATGTGTTTCATATTAACTTACTACTCGTTAAAGTACATCAGCGTTTTTGTCAGTTAAATATTGCAAAACTTGCGTTTCAAGTACATAACTAAGATTAGCTGCTATAAACCCTTTTTTGTTGATGGGAGTACTTTATTGGATTAAGTTGTTGATGTCCACAACTTAATCCATTTGTAAAAGTTAATCTAGTGGTATATACACCTGTGTAGAGATAATATTCTTTTTCTTGATACATTGACAATTGGATAATTGAATAGGCTATGGTAAATAGAATGAGATAATAAAGTAATTTTGGTATATTTATGTGTGTATCACTTCTTGGGATTACCATTTAGGACCATGTGCGGCTAGGCTAAGCATAGTTGCTTACCAATATAGATATGTTTCATAATACCTGTCATTGACATATAATTTATGCATTAACATCATTTGAAATATGAATGTTAAACGTGTACTTATATTGCCAGCACAACATCCCCTTGAATGTACTCAGGTCATTAATTCATATTAATGAATGAAATCATTAGTGGGTTAATTAGTACCATTCTACACAACAGGGGTGTGGAAGTAACCATTTGTTTTTAGTGAAGGCCATATGAGGTGTAGGCCAGATGAGGGCAAGCCAGTATAAAACTTTGCATGTTTACCAGACACATACTGAACTGCCTTTTGCTATTAAGGAATTTAAGAAATTTTTATTTTTTACGTTTCCATTGCAACAAGTTGGACTTGTTAGTGCTGCAATTAGGCCATTTACAAAAAGGCCCAGTGAACATAGTTCACAGGAGCTAATGCATTGCACACAACCAGACATGTCATACGGCCGGGGGATATGAGTATTTCATGCTTGTTTTTTTAGTTTTCAGTGTCTGGATAGGACCTGCAATTATGTAAAAATAGTAACTATTCATACACAATACCATGATAATAAAATCAGTGTTGACTTAAAACCTTATTTCACAGAATACAAGGGTGCACCTAGTGCATCTTGAATGCTTGTGACGGGTGGGGTGGGGGGTGTAC